GTGTGTGTGTGTGTGTGTGTGTGTGTGTGTGTGTGTGTGTGTGTGTGTATTTTTGCTACATCTTGGGAACCATTTTCTAGAAAAAGGCAGCCCCGTGGGGACCAATGCCCAGTCCCACGGGTACGGATGCTAATTTCAGGTGTGGGGGTTAGATTTACGACCAAGGTGTGAATTGATTTTAGGCTAGTTTTAGGGTCAGGTGAGGTTAAACTGTGAGGTTAATCTTAGGGTAAATGGTCAGGGTTAGGATATAAAATTACCAGTAAATGAATGGAAGTCAATCCATGGTCCCCACGGGGATATAAAAACAAACCTGCATGTGTGTGTGTGAGTGCACGTATAAAAAGGTTATTTTTTTACTATAGGACCCAGTGAGGATGAAGTCCTTATTCCCTTTGAAGCACACAATCCCTTTTTGATGTTTGTTACCCGCTGATCATCATTTATTCATCTTGTCTGAGGCTTCCACTCCAAGTGATGTGTGCCAAGGAGACTGTGTTTTTGAAAGTTAAACTCTGTGTGAATAAAAAAAAAGATTTATTTTGTTCCCATTTTTAAATGCCTCTTTTTCTGTATTGCTTTCACTGTAATTTGTTGTATATTTACAGCCTGGTGATTTAGGATTCCAAATGGAAACTCTGCTGACTAAAATAGCTTCCTTGTCTGTATTTAAAGTTATGTCGTACTTCAGATAAGTGACATCAGTAGCGTTCTAAAAGCGAAGCTGATCGGGCATACTTGGGGACAGGCTCTAATGAATCACACCCCTCGAGGGCTGGTGGGGGATGGAGACATTGCTTCCTGACTCATAAGAGGGGGGAAAAAATGGCAAACACGTCACCTACGCCCCACAGCTTATCATTAAACACCACCTTCTGGCCTTTCTTAAAATAGCCCAGAATGCAAAATGAGGGTCTATCTAAAGAATCCCCCTCTGCCGCTAAAAGACTGGTTTGGTCCAACAGATGTTTGCTAATGGTTTTAGTCAAAGGGGATATATTAAAAAGCACCACCAAGGCCTCAGTGTTTATCCAATTTTTTATTATTATTACATTTCCCACTTTTACTCCCAACTTTGTGTGATGGGAACACACAACTCCAAGGGCAGGACTGCCATTAGTACACACATCAACAGGATTTGTGGAGAGAATYATAGTTATGTAAAGGGATGAGATGTTAAAAAAATAATAAAATGTTTAATTAATACCTCACTGACACGCAGGTTAAATTTGAGCCCTCTTAAGGTMTAAACATATTTAATTAAAATGAAAAACAGTCTCATTTTCCATCAGCAGAGCTGATGTTTTACTTTTACTTTGCAGTAAACACTCCAGCGCACGCTCTGCTCTTAAAATAGCCAAGCAAAAAAAAAAAAAAAAAAACAGTTTTGAAAGTGACATATAGCACATAATGATACTTCACTTAGAAAAGGCTTGGTGAAGAATCAGATCATAAATCCCCAGTGCCTTGTTCATCAGCTCTGTTAGACTCCCCTTCAACAAATCTCCCAATGACAGGAGTCCCTTTTCTCGTAAACATCTCTGTAATAAACWGGCGTGTTGTTTTTCTGTAAGGAGCCACGGATCACATTATAGTACAATGATGAGCCTCTTCGGCATATCATCCTCCCATAAATTCGCTTTCCAATTAATTTAACGTTAAACATGTCATTATCATTTTCACAAGCTCGTCGACCAGACTGAGCTGGACCGGTTCACATGCCCAGCATGTTTCTACTGGTGAAAAGCATTCCAGACTGGGCCAGTTGGAGCGCTGCTGGCTTACATCCAACAGGATTTACGGCCGCTAATGTTGTATTCCAGGAGTTTCCTCTTACTGTCGTTTTAAAAACAACCATCTCAAAACAAAAGAACAGAGCCTGAAACCCTCATGAACACTTGGTGTCAAATACTTTGAAGCTTAGATATTCAGTGGAAGGAGGGTCGTGAAAGGAATGCCATGTTTAACATAATAAAAAAAAACACATCTTTAAGCAGTATTTTTATTTATTTTTTCTTCCACAATGGAGATTAATATACTCCCATGCTTTTATGTGAGAAACAGACCAATTATTTAGCCGAGTGCAAACCAGAAAGGACAAAGCTGGTAAAGAGGATGGATGGATGGATTTATTTATTAGCTCTAWACTGGCCAAATAACCTACCTTAAATAACTTCCTTAATCAGTAGCCCTAATTTAAGTTATTTTATGTGTACAAGTTTTTCTATGGCAGGGGTTCTCAAATGTTTTGTGTCTGGGGACTACTTTCAAAGGTGAAATATTTCCATGGACCCCCTCACAAGCCTAATGCTAATTTTAAAATAATTTACTGCCCTTCTAATCCCTAAATGCCATGGGAATAATAATTGTTGTTTGTTTTAACTTGTACATTGTTCCACATATGCATTTATGCATTTTTATTTAAATAAAAAACAGAATCAACAACTTATTGTAATTTTTTGAGGTTCCCCAAGCCACAGCTCGCAGACCCCTGGGGGTCCTGGGACCCCAATTTGAGAACCTCCATTCTAAGGATTGGTAAGTTTAGATTTAAGTTAAGCAGTTGTTATTTATTTTGTTAAATGAAAGATAGATATGGAATAAAATAAATAAAAAACTACAATTTGATGATGGAAATCAGTCAACAGCTGCCACAATTTCAACATATTTCATCATTCATAAAACAATGTAATACTGGTAGACCCATGTTTTACAAAAATAACAAACTGTCAGGAATTTTAACGCAAACAAGTAACAAATTAAACGCTACAGTTCCTTGAAGAAATGTTGATTTCCCGCTGCCTCTTGTGTCCGAATTTTACATGAGAAAAGACACAATTATAATCATCTTGGTTAAAACTTGTAAATGGCTTCAAGAGAGTAGCTCTCAGAGTAGGTCTTAAAGACGACTCTCAGCTACCATCKCACCKAGTTTTASCTTATTYTCTGTAAAACTGARGGAGTTAKAGCCATTTCTCTTTTTATTTAGGATAATTTCAATTAGCAGSGTGACTCCAAAAGTTAATCAGTTGCAGGTGAATATTTTCCAAAAGTTTCATTATATCTGTCCAGTAGTTTAGGGAATATTTTACAGAAAAATACACAGGGTCGACACCAAAAATTAACGCTAAAGTTTGAAGCACAGTTGTGCAAGATATAATGCTCAGAGTTTGTGGCGTGAATAACTCAGATATTATCATGCCACATTTTAGCTCAATGTCAAATTGATTGATTGAAGTTAGAYCATTTTTGAGTTTGGCTGTGGCAGCCATTTTGAAATGAGTTGACCCTAAAAGCTAATCAGTTATAGACGTATGTAAATTCAGTGATTACTTTCTYAAAGTTTCATTAAAATCTGATCATTGGTTTTTGAGACAAAAACTGCAGTGGGTAATCATTAGCACATTGCTCAAACAGAAAAGTTTGGATTTGTCACACTGTTTTGTTTCAAACCAGGCAAAAAAAATCGAGAGCTTCAGCTGAGTTTGTCAGAATTTGATTATGTTGGCGGTTTGGCTCTGGGTAGGAACAGTTTGAGACCTGAAGGATGAGGACGAGTGTGACCGCTGCCGTCGATGCTCAATTAGGAACCATCACCTGATTAGGAGCTGGSTGAGTGGTTGCCTTCCCAGAGGCAGCTCAAATGAAGTCCCTTCCTAAAGCCATCTGATGCCCAGCTGTGGCTGCAGCAGCTAGTGGCACAATTAGAAACTTTACAAACACCTGCTCCTCCTGCGAAGCTTCGTGGTTCCAGGTGATTTCTGCTCCCTCGGTAAGCAGATCAATATGTCACCACTTACTCTGACGCTGATGGATGACTGATTCATCGTGTGACAAATTCTCATCTGCCGCTTGGGAATTTTTTTTTTTTGCTGAGCTGTACGAAGGGTTTCAGGTGTGCTTTAAAAGCACRGCTAAGGAAGGTTACTTCGAAATTACCCTAAAAACTGCTGATGAGGCGAGAATTGCACAAACTCTGGATGTTTTTGATGTGTCTTATTGCTGAGGCTTCATTTAAATTTAAAGAAATGCCACAATTGTAAATTCATTACTATATTTTTCAACACATACAGTAATTTAGCTAATGYCCATAGATTTAATTGCAAGTGGAGTATCTTATTCTAACCATTATTTAATGTTATTATAMAAAAAATAAAAAAAGAAACAGAAAATTGAGGGAAAATATAAAAAAAGGCATTGTCACCAGGACTGAGCCTCCCATTGAAGATTCCTGCTGTTGCTGCATTAAACAACATTAAAGTGAAATGCTAATGCCCAAATGAATATTGMTGAATGATGCCAGGCAGGATAAGTGCAGCTTAGAGAGGTGCTTAGAGTCTATAGCTGATCGTTTTCACAGCTAGAAGAAAAATAAATCAGCTGTTGTTTACCATCCATATTTTATTTAATCCGTCCTCTTTGAGCCGAGAGGATGGAAAACACTGACAAAAACAAAAAAACATTCACATCTGCATGAATACTTAATTCTCCTAGAAGAAACGGAGGAAATAAATTAGAGAAAATAGGTCGAGGAGAAGCTAAAACCACTGGCTCTGTTTCACATTTCAATGCTGCGTTTTTATTTTTTTAAGTTTCCCAGTAGTTTCTGAACGGGCGCTAAAAATACATTTAGCAACAGGTTTTAGTCGATTATTCCAAAAGCACAAAAGGAGGTTGGGGTTCCGAATGAGGCGCAGATAATTTTGAAAGAAACGAGTCGGCCCCTTTTAATTTTCTTTGGCAACGTAAAATCATTAAAGCAGCAAAGAAAGTCTTGTGAGCGCGAAAGCACAGGCACGAACATGAGTCAGCATTTCAATTAGCTCTCTGTCCAACTTCTTCAAGAAAGTTTTCAAAGCAAAGTCACATAAAATGAGCAAGTCTTTTTTTTTCTTTTTGCAGAATATAAGATGTCCAAATTGCAATTAAGCGTCTCGGGTTGTATCTAACTAAAGGTGACGGACTTCAAACGTTTAATTACACACTTGAGTCAGTCTTTAGATATCCTGGGTCAGAACAAATGCCTTCTGCCATTCTGCTCCAAAACACCATAAAATCTGAAGGAAACTAAAAATCACTTCACCTCACATGATTCAGCTGTGTGAATTATTAAAATGAGAGCGTACTGGAGGGGGAGGGAAAGACTCTGAATGTGTTAGAAAAAAAATCATAAAAGCTGCTCAAGTGAAACAGCGAAGCTTTTGCAAAGAGAGATAATAGAAATATTGAACTCTTGGATTTGCAAGACTAAAAAAATTAAAGAGTGGAAGAAAAAAATGGCTAAAAAAATGTAATTGCTTCAGCGATGAAGTGAACAAAGTGATTAAAGACGGCACGAGACGTGGAGAGAGAAAAGCGAGCGTCTACCTTTTGAAGTGAGTCCCGTCAGATCAGGAGGAGACCGAGGCTAGGTGCAGATCTACCCGAGTCAAGTCGGCGGTTCAGTCGGCCAGCGGACTCAATCTGTGGAGGAGAAGCATTTTAAAAAAAAATGTTCAGCCAAACCCAACGAACCAGCCTCTATAGAGACACAAATACAACATAAGCACACCTGCAGCATGATCAGTTTATCATCAACTACAAATCATTTTTTTAAGTGCACCAAACTCCTCTAATCTTAATAATTCACGCTCTGAATTGTATCCATAACATTGATAAACATATCCACAACAACCAAATCCAAGACAGAAAGTCCAACCATTTATTTAATCTAATAAGCATTTACACAGTTTATCAATGATTTCTAACCTGACTTCTAACCTGCAGGACTCTAGAGCATAACCGGGGCTATGCCACGGRTTTGACCCCCGTCAATGTTGTACTGTCCTGTTTCTTTTAATATCACACACATTAACAAACTGTGAGCCTAGAAGAAATGCATATCCTTCCTTGTCTTCCACGCCTTCTTTAAAAACAAGATCTCATATCATCTGTTAGAGCTTTGAGTATGTGTTAGGAGTGACTCTCAGCTACTACGACATCAAACTGGGGCTCAAATCACCTATTTATAGGTGTTTTTCTGTTTGTTTGTTTTTTTCTCTCAGAGGGGGGTCCCAGGGGACCCCAAAAGTTAATRAACTGTAAAAGGTGCATCAAATGATCCTGGAATTTAAATCTGTCCTCTGGCTTATGAGATATTTTGCTAACAGAARGAGAAGGTTGACTCCACCAGTTACAGCTAAAGTTTTACACAAATATCTTGTGCATTTTGTTTGTGCTTATAGTATGCGTTTGTGATGATTCTCAGCWACTACCACACCAAATTTTAGCTTAATGTTTGCAAAACAAACTCATTTATAGCCTTTTTTGGGTTTGCTACAGTTACTGAGCTGTGTGACCATCTGGAATTGGATTGACCTCAAAAGATACATGTAAAGTTTACTTGCTCAGGGTCTTGTTCAAATCTGCTCATGAAATGTTTGAAAACAGACAGACATTTACATTATTGTTGACAACATGACCAAAATATATGCACAATGGGTTGCCTTCAATGAGATTTGCCTGGTTACGTAAAAAAAATAAATAAAAAGTCCACCTCTACAGCTGTGAGGGGACAATGGGGGTCATCATAGAAAAGTAGAGCTCAGAATTGAACATTGCAAATGCTTAAACTGTTGAGGAATTATTAACACCTCATTGTGTCGATGAACYAATGACGTCTAATTAACTGTGTAGTGAAAAGTGTAGCAGCTATAATTATCTATTGGCTGTGTTATTTGTTCCCCATTCCTTCAGTGTAATATTTAGCTTTTTGCCCACATAAGCAAACTTAGAAAACACAAACTCCACAACAGAGTTTTTCTTCCCTACAGAAAGTGTAGTGTCTTAGAAAACAAGACTTGTCTGTTTATCTCTTGATGGATGTTGTCACCTGGTAGTAATGTCTCCTGTTGAACTTTTAAAACTACTGAAAGTCTGCAGCAGTGTTTGCCTAAGTTGTTCGGAATCAGTTGAATTAGGATCTTCTTGAATGGTAACCAGTTCTTAGTTTGAACGTTTACTCATACTGTAGAAAAATACATTTAACAAAGCTGCAAACAATGCATGCATCTGGCTCATATGATCTATTACTCTTATCAGAAAGGTAAAACCACATCCCTTCAAAATAAAAGCACATCCAGTACATTTCTAGTAATGTACACTATTTTTTTTAGCAATATTAGTTTTCAATCCTCTTTTCAACAGTAACCTGCAATAACTAATTATGTATTAAATGCATCTATTTAAATCAATTTAACTGAACTTTTCAAAACAAAATCAAAATAAAGAGATGTAGGTGAGTAAAAGTTGAAAATCATAGCATTTCTGCTAATCGTTATGTGTGTGTGTGTTTGATTGTCTGCCATGTTAACAAAACACCTCAACAATGATATGTCTATGACTGATTAACTTTTAGAGTCACCATCGCTGATGTAATCAACATAGCCCATGTAAAAATGGCAGCTTCACAAATACTGATCAAAAGGTTTGTCCACGTCCTTTACCCTGAGCAAAAACTGATTGTTCTATTTTTAAATGTTGCCATTAGTCAACTCTTTTATTTGTTTAACCGTAGAACATAACATTCTAATCCCTTATCAGTCAGATAGGCCTCTGCTGTAAAAGTTCCCTTTTTTAACCTTGCCTGTCCTCATTATTGGATATTTCATAATGCAGATTACAGTTGGTACAAATTGTGCTGGTGTCTAAAAATTAAACCATTTAATCAGTTTTTTTCCTCCAAACACTAAAATCTTAGAAAACATAGAAATAACTAATCTAATAAAGCTAAAATTACCTTATTATAAATGATAAAAGTGGTTATTAAGATTTCTAGAGTTTTTACAAGAAAAAATCTCACGAAGAACAAGTCTAATGATCTCTTATTCACTAAATATAAGAGCTGGAAGGTTATGTGGTCGATATTTGATTCTTCCTAATGAGGCAACATTTGCTCAATACTGTAAACAAACCAATTTCTCAGCCTGACCTCCGTCCTCACACTGTAGCATGTCCAAAATATAAACACCACYTGCGCAGGGGAAGATAAAGGCCACTGTCCAAAACTGCATCACAAATTGGATTGAATGCGTCACGCTCCAGGATGAGTCATTCTGCCGAGCTTCCCAACCTGTCCGGAGACTCGGCTGCCTTTGTCAGCTGGGGAGACACGAGCCTGCTGGACTCGGCGCCTCCTAGAACATCTCACTACTGACATCAAACTGTTTGACTTRCTCCTTGCAGCGTGGCATTCATTTGTAGTTTGGTTTTAATAGGACAAAACAGCTGCTTAAAAAACGACTTCACAGCTCAAGGAGTGCTTAAACACTCGTTGAAGATTTATTGGAAATAAAGGCAGCTCCCTTATTGGGTTCATCGACAGTTCATCTCCCACATTAGCTGATATTCACTGAGGTTCTGCTTCTAAGCAGAAAGATCTGTAAAAGAGAAAAACACGTTCTTATCTTTTAAATAGATGAGAATTGGAAAAATATGCAGTTTTTTTTCCCATGAAGAAATCACTGATGTTATCTCCAATTTAGGAGTATTTTTTAAATATGTTTCATCACATTTTATCACACAGACAAGCGCATTGACAAGTTTCATAATTTGAATGGCTGAGTTTATGACTCAATTACAAATAAATACACACATAATGGGCTTGAATTACATGAATTTCTAGCTTTAAATAATTTATTTTACATTCTCTTTATCCAGATTGGAATGGTAAAACATCTTTGTTAAGCCAAAGCCAATTTTTTTTGCACTGATAGAAAGTGCAAATGGAAATGAAAAACCTAAAACAAGTTGTTAGGTTGAATTAATGATACAAATTCCAATAACATACAGCTTCAGGTGAATGGCAGGTGACAATTTGGAGGAAGTTACCAGAACCTTTAATAACTTTTTGTCAGTTAAGTTGAGGAGCAAACAGTTCATTTTAAACAGCTACTTTTAAACCCATTAATGAAAACAAACATGTCTTTCATATAAGAAACATAACTAACACTGAGGTATTTAAAATTATTTCTCCATTAAATACTTCCAAACATAAAGATGTGTTTGATCTTGACAATAACTTTTTTAAATTGAATAAAGAGGCCCTTGAAATACCATTTACCTATTTGATAAACCTCTATCTAAAACAGTCAATTGTTCCAACAGTCTGGAAGAAAGCTAAAATACCTCCAGTTTAAACAGCTGTGATAAAAATCCATGATAATTTACCATTTTACCTTTAGTTTCAAAGATGGCTGAGAAATGGGTCTCCAATTAATGAACTAACCATACTAATGTGTGTTCTACACCTCTCCATGTGATGCAGTTTGGTATTGGAAAACATACTTCAACTGAAAAAGCTAATGTTATTTATTTATTTATTTATTTATTTATTTATTTAGAGAAGATCAAAAACTTACAGGACAAGCAAGGTTGTGTTGGAGCTGTCTTAGATCTAAAACGAGCTTTTGAAATCCTATCTTTCTAATAGAGAACAGGCTGCACAGATAGGTGATTCAGTCTCACCATATCTTAACTGCTCAGTTGGACTCACCCAAGGCTCTATATTAGGACCTATTCTTTCACATGCTAAAACAATGCAGGAAGCAGATGATGTTGTATCTGCTGCTATGGTACTGGTGTCCCATTGTCTTCAAGATTCATGCTTATATCTTAACAGAAAAAAACTGTTTTTGTTTTTATGCCAGCAAGAAGATGGCCCAAAACCAAATGTTGTGAATGGAGAGAGACTTGGATTGGTACAAGTACCATGGTGTTCTATTTGACTCAAATCTTATTTTTAGGCAACATAATAAGAAGACTACTAATGTAATAAAATTCATAGCTCTTATAGCCATTAAAAAGGAAAACTTTAACTTTAAGTACTTAGTTTGGAGTCGTGACTGGGTACAATCTGCTCAACCGCCATTAAATAGTGATGGGACTCCATGACAGTGGTCTGTGTCATGCATGTAGCAGACCTTGTTGCACTACTTGGGCCACTGCCTGGCTCTGAGCAGTCAAAGGCAAATAATCCTTGGGGACCCCTTTATGGATCCAGAAAAGCTCAGATCACTGAGTGTTTCTATCCTCGTGTCCTTCATCCGATGGACACTAGAGCAATGGGCCCACTTATGTGTCCCCAACTCATATGGATTCTTTATCCATCCCCAATAACCATAAACCATAACAAAATTTAACTTGGCAAATTTTCATCATATTACACCTTTTCTCACTTCACAAGCAAAACTTGTATGCATGCTATGATTTTTTTCATSTATATCTTATCGTCTCACAATTTGGTCCCACACAACAGCAAATATGCTACAACCCATCAAGCCTCTCTTCAAAAAGACAATTAAAGTTTTAGACAGACGTAAGATGAGATGAGATGAGATGAGTTGAGATGAGATGAGATGAGATGAGATGAGCCTTTATTGTCATTGTACAGAGCACAATGAAATTACAGTTCAGAACACCCATTT